TTTTTTGCGGTACATGGGCCTCTCACTGCTGTGGCCTCTCCCACTGCGGAGCACAGGCTCTGGACGCGCAGGCTCAGCGGCCATGGCTCACGGGCCCAGCCGCTCCGCGGCATGTGGGACCTTCCCGGTCCGGGGCATGAACCCGTACGAACCCGTGTTCCCTGCATCGGCAGGCAGACTCCCAACCACTGTGCCACCAGGGAAGCCCCAAAATTCAATTTCTTGACAAAGCATTCCTGCATTCAAATTCTGGCTCCATTACTCCCCGCGTAAACTTGGGCAAGATGCTGACCTTTTCTGTACCTGACTTTCCTCATATATAAAGTGGGGATAAAGGCACCCACTTGATAAGGGTGTTATCAAGAGGAAACTAGTGAATACAGGAAAGGCGCTTGGAACAGTGCCTGACACATGCTCAGGGCTCAAATAAACTTACAAATTGTTATTTTGTCAAAAGGGCAAGAGACGGTGGGTGGCTTCATTAGAATTCAAGCATCTGGATCTTTGCCCTCTCTCACCGCTTTCGCAACTGACTTGTGTTATGGTTGGCAGGACACACTAGACATGTCCATTTGGCTGCCTCTCAGACAAAGCAACAGGTCGGAAACTCAGTCCATCACCTTCCCCGCCCCGGGGCTCCTTCCTGTCAGGGTAAAGGGACTAACATCCTCCTCCCTCACCCTCCCGCGTGCCCCACATTCAGCAGATCCTGTTCCCTAAATCTGTCCCAGATCCATCTTTCCTGCGTTTTGCGCCCTGGCCTGGTGTTCCTCATGTCTTGCCTAGGCTCCTGTAACAGCCTCCACTCCAGACCCCTCAGATCCACCCGCAGGAAATGAGCCCTAATTTCACCCAAAGTCACCCAAGCAGAGGGTCGGATCATGGTGGAGGCCCCCGGGAGCGGTGACGCAGGGCGTGGCCCGCCGGCCTCGGAAGACCGGGACTCCCGCTCCAGCCGGGCGGAAGCACGCGGACCCCTCGCTCCCCGGTCGTCCCCGGGCCCCCGCCGCCCTCGTTCCCGGTGCCGCCTACCCGTTCACCGCCCAGGGCCAGCTCACAGCCTTTCCGCCCGCGCTCCGCCGCCGGGACCACGCCCCCTGTGACGCGCATGAAGCCCCGCCCCCATCCCGTCACCTGACGGCGCGCAGCCGGGGCCCCGCCTCCCAGCGGAGCGCCACTGAAGCGCGAGGATTGGCTGGGAGTGCGCACCTCAGCCAATCCGGACTCGCCCCGGCCCTCGCGGCCCCGCCTCCTCCCGGTGGCGCTCCTGACAGTGACATGCTCTGCCGGTTGGGGCTGCGCCCTGGGCGGCCGGGCTGGGAGGGGTTGGGATGGAGGCGGCAGGGCCGCGGAGCAGGGACGCGCGGGGGCGAGCGGCGAATCAGCCTGGTAGCCGAGCAGAGAAGAGCCCGCCGGAGAGGTGCGCTCCTTGAGCGGAAGGCAGGGGAAGCCTTCGGCGCCCTCCTCCAGGAAGCCCTCCAGGCGCCGCATGGCGAGGTCTGAGGGTGGCGGCCGGTCGGTGGTCACTCCCCGAGGGAGGGGGTGGCCAGCTGGTGGTCACTTTCCAGGGGAGGGGTCCTTCCAGGAGAGGGGCCGCCAGCAGGCCGGTCTCTCGCGGGCATGAGGGTCCGCGCGGGGATGCAGCGCCGCCCGGCTGTCCGCGCGGGAGGCCTAAAGCAGGGATGAGCGCTGGGAGGACGAGCGGATGCGAGGCGTGGCCTGCGAAGGGCTCCGGGGAGGTGACGCTTGGGCTAAAACCTGAGTGACATCCAGGTGTGAGCCGCACAAGTTCTGGGAGCGAGCGCGCGGGGAAGAGGAAACCGCAGCAAAGGCCCCGAGGGCAGGAACGAGCCCTTGGGGTCCAGGGCAGCGAGGACTGCGGAGCGGAGGGGCTTGGGGCAGCTGTCCGCGAGCAGAGCCGCAGAGCCCAGGAAGGACTTGGGGTGTCCTGGAGGTTTGAGAGGGGAGTGACGTCATTTAATTATATTACGAATTACTACTTTACATTTTAAAGGAATCCTTCTGGCTGCCTTGTAGGGAGTAGGGGTTGCAGGAAGCAGGGAAGCCAGTTGGGAATCTTTTGTCACAATCGAGGAGGGAGAGGCGGTGTGGACGGCAGTGGTGGCAGGGGTGGCGGGAGAAGGGTTTGTACTGAGAATAAACCCGGCAGTTGCTGAAGCGTCCTCCGAGTAGGGGAGAGGTAGGGTTAAGAAGGATGCCCCGAGGCTGCTGGCCTGAGCACCTGGCAGAGTGGGGGTGAAGACAGGGGGGCACTCCAGCCCACAGAGCTGTTCCAGCCTGCTGGGACCTTCCCCTGGGCGGGGGAAATGCATCTTTGTTTGTTTGTTTGTGAGTCTTCACCCTCAATCCAGGAATTTGTTAAATACTTTCTGGGTAGGAGGGGTAATCCTCTCTACCTGAGTATGAGGAACGGGTGTGTGTCTTTAAAATGTGGGTCCAGGCCATGCCTTTCATTAGGTCTCATTTGCTTGGAACTGAGAAAAGGGAGCTGGGAAAATGTACCGAGTGGAGAAGAGATTCGTGATGCCTTTTTCTTTTTGGTTATGAACCTAATAAAGTTTAGCTTTCCCGTGCAATATTGATAGCACTTAAAAGAAGTAACAAATAATGGGGCAGAGAAATCTCTGAAGTGTTCTGAAATTCAAGCTTTGAATTAACTCAGCCAAGCAGGAGATTGAAGAGCTGTGGTCACTAGTAGTTTGAGTAATTTTGGAATACTTATCATTGGAAGTGAGAGCAGAGTTAGGGGCACATGCAGGTTTAAGACTCAACAGGATCCAGGGATTCCTAATACCCGGGTGGCCAAGGATGGCTGCTCAGACTTCCCAAGCCCCAAAGCCTTGTGCTTGGGCATCTTAGAGACAAGATGCTGCATTAAAACACTCCATGGGGGGGACTTCCCTGGTGGTCCAGTGGTTAAGAGTCCTCACTTCCATTGCAGGGGCCATGGGTTTGATCCCTGGTCGGGGAACTAAGATCCCACATGCTGCAAGGCGCGGCCAAAAAAAAAAACACTCTGTGGGTTAAAGAACCTGTGTTTTAACAGCCGCCATTGGTAATTGTGTTTGAATTTTCATGTGGATTGGTTTAAATGCTATTGCTGATTTTAAAGTCAGGTAAAATAATTAATGGTATCTGGCAGGATTGCCTACTAGGACATATTCCTGAAAGTTTCTGAAAGTTTTTGTTACTGGTAAAAAGATATACGGATAAGTTTCACTTAGGGATCTTTCAGGGGCTGTGCACTTTCTGTGACATTTGTCACCTTATAAGTCAAGCCCCTACTCTGTGCCAGCCGTTGTCCTCAGTGTTGGCGACAGAGCTGGGAGGAAAATGGGAGCTTGTGGAGCTGCTGTTCTGTTACTTTCTGTTGAGACAGAGAATAAACAAGGAGCAAGTCTAGTGTGTTAGATGATGGGGTGCCTTGGAGAAACGGGGTGCCAGGGGGCACAGCCCTGGGGAGGAGGGCATGGGTGGCTGCAATTTTATTTAGAGCCCAGTTTGCCTCACAAGAAGGTCAAGTTGGAGCAAAGACCTAAAAAGTAAGGTGGGGGTGTCAGTGTGGTCATTCTAGGCAAAGAAAACGGGAAGTGCAAAGGGAGGAGAAGCAAGCCTGCACATGCCCCCCACCCCACAGAGGAGACTGCATCTCAGGGAAGCAGAGGGGAGAGGGGGGGAGCAGTGGGCGCCTAGATCACCCGAGCCTCACGCCATCGCAGGCACTGCAGGGAAATAAAGGAAAACTACTGGTGAAGTGGTGAAGTTGAAAAACCAGGGAAAAAGCCCTGAGGAATGTGCGGCTCCCTGGGACTGCAAGGTTCCCCTTCTTCCCTCAGGAGGAAGGTCGGAGTCAGGTAGGTAGCCCAGGCCCAGCGGACCACCCCTCCTACCAAGCGGTGGAAAAAAGTTTTGAAAGTCCAAAGGGACAATTTCCTAACAGTGATAAAGGAAACTAGCAAATACTATTGATAGATGGTTGGAAAACATGTATACATTTTCCATAAGTAATGAAGATGTGGAAATTTCTGAGCTTGTAGAATCTGGCACATGTAAATGCAGAGAAGCACCCCAACCTTGAATTATTTGCTCCTGTTGCTACGATAGACAGGGTGCAGCTGTGCTTCCAGATTTCACCTTCTTTTCCCTAATAGGCACGTCTTTATTTTCTCTCCAGCAGGAAAGTGTATATGGACTATAATGCAACGACCCCCCTGGAGCCAGAAGTCATCCAGGCCATGACTGAAGCCATGCAGGAAGCCTGGGGAAATCCCAGCAGCCCTTACCCGGCAGGTAGTTCTAGAAGACACACACAGATCAGAGACGTGGGGGACAGAGGTACTCTTAGAGAAATTAGAGAATCCCACATGGGATGACTCGATTTTGAATAGATTTTCTGTTAACTGCAAATCTTTAGCTGTAATTTTGGGTAGTTTTTTCCTGAGAAGTCCAAATTTGAGCCTTGTTGATACCATAATCTTTCATCTTTAACATACTCTCCTGTCTTCCTTTCCCAGATGAAAAAGCTGTCTTATTAAGAATTGTTTGTAGTGACAGTACCTATTAAAACCCTGTCACGTATCTGTCTCAGTCGACTGTTACAAAATTTGCAAAATAGATCTTTTACAACATCAGGATCACATAGAATCCTGGTCTTTTTTTAAAAATAAAAATTACTGTCAAATTCTTCAATTATAAATATTCTTATATGTTTCTCGTTTATTCTTGTTTTAATGTAGAGCATTAAATTGGAGGTCTTGGAAAAGAATTTGCTTCAAATCAGGAGTTACGTGGCAGAGTCACGTTGTGTCTTTCAGAGAGTGAGCTGAAGCTGTGTCTTCTTATTTAATGCTTTATCAGGGATAATGAAGATAAACTATCTTAACTGTGGATCACTGATGAACTAAAATAACTTTGAGACTACTGCCACGCCCTAGGATTTAGCAATGCCTGTGTACAAATCTATAGACTTTTGTGGGTTTTCATGTCGGTTTGCTTATTCAAAGCTTCACAGCTTGATAACTAAAAGCTTTTGCAAAATCAGATACTAGTCATTCATTAACTTTGTTGTTGGTTTATCTTATACATGTATTCTGGCTAATCTTCTGGACGTTGCCTTGTAGCTAATCTTTCCTCTAGTGAAACTGAAGTTTCTGACGCATAAAACTGGAGAATCCAGAGAACAGTCAAGTGCTAATAAAAAGCATTTATCATGAAGAAATTTAGGAATAACCCTCAGGGAGAAATAACCCTTCTAGACCTGATGAAGCCTGTCTGTCTGTGGATTGCATGTTGCCTTGACAGCCTTTGTTTCCACAAATTAAGAACCATAACTAAAAATGCATTGCAGTAATTCTCTGTTGACACTCAGGTAGAAATGGAAAAGAAAAAAAAAAAGGAAAGAAAGAAAAAATCAGCTGTATGATAGAATGGTTTAATTATTTCGACAATATTATGATTTAATAATGATAATAATCCCTTGGAGGGTAATCTGTTTTAAGGCCAATATTAAGGCGGTATGGGCAGAGTTTAGAAACCCGAGATGTTTTTTACTACCTCGCTTATAGCCTCAGTGTCCATCAGTCACGGATGGATCACATAAGTGGGCAGAGGCCCTGGCGTGAGTTCTGGTCGCCCTTAAAGCAATGGTGTGGACTGTATTGACGACCTAGGAGGAGAGTTGCAGCATTTGGCCCAAGTGGAAAATGCACGTTATAAATGTGCAGTGTGATTGATTCCCCTGCCCACCACCCAAGAAAAAATTATATAGAGCAAGTATGGCAGATGTATAGTTTTGCTGTGAGAAACTCCCAAATAACTGTAGATTAAACAGCTTGAAATTTATTTCTCTTACGGTCCAGGGCCCATGTAGCTGCCCAGCCACTACCAGAGATGCACCTCCTTCTATCTTAGAACTTCTTCCATCTTTAACGTGCACCTGCCCCTTGGGGTCAAGATGGCTCCTGCAGTTCAAGCCATCATGTAAGCAGTCCGGCCTGTGGGACAGAGAGAAAGAGGAGGAGAAAGGGCTGCCTGAGTCCTTCAGAGACACTTCTGGAAGTTGCAAGTACCACTCTGGCCTATAACCCATTGCCAGAGGTTGGTCCCATGGCCACGCGTTGGCATTTCGGTTGCAGTGGAAGTTGGGAAATGGGCTCTAAATTCTTAACTCATCTAAGACTTTCTTCATTTAAATGTGGCCTTAATTAAGATGTGTTCCAGCTGAAAATGCCTCCGTGGTAGGGAGGGAGAGTGGCAGCAAGGGCGGCCCCAACACAGATGGGATGCGCACCAGATGCTCCCACCGCAGTTATCTTGGAGTAGCGGCATGGCAGGAGGTTTTGAGTATTTTCTTTTTGTATCATGGTATTTAATTCTACAATCAGCATGCCTAGTGTAATGAGAAGAAAACTTTACTAAAGCCAAGCTTTTGTCTCTTCAGAACTCTTTCTTAGCTGACACGGCAGTACACACGCCGTGCTATGACGTTCCCGGGCTCACCCCCCAGCGCTGGTGGGTGCCTCTGGCTGTGGAAATGCAGGGAGGGTGTCACTGTGTGTACAGTGAGTTAGGTTGACGGTGCTCTCGCACGCACCCACTTTTCTTATTAGTGAGAACCTGCATGGTGGGTGGGGATCGGGGCTCAGGTTCACAGCTGAGGGCGTCCGCTCTTAGAGTGGGCCAGCGGCCTGCAGCATCTCGGGCTGGTCCCCAGATGGAACCCAGCTCTCCTAGCCCTGGGTTCTGGGGTTTTCCCACCATCACCCCTCCTGCTGCTGTCAGGGATTCCCTAGGGCCTTTTGCCCAGGTGTCTGGGGCTCACCTTCAAGGGCTCTGGTCCTCCCCCGTGAGCCATCCACTCAGCTTGCCTGGAGGGCGCTTACTCTGTGCCTGGTGGGTGGGGCAGCCAACAGGCAAAGGTCCTGCTCTTGTGAGGGGCGGCAGGCAGGGCAGTTACAGATGCAGGTGTGTGAGGTGGACAAGGCCCTGTGGGGAGCAGTGAAGCCGATGAAGGGCACACAGTTCTGGGGCAGGGGCCCCGCTTCACGGAGGATGACCCTACTCTCGGATGACATACGTTTGCAGACATGAGGAGGGGACACCTGGGGAGGCACTGCAGGCAGAGGGCTGTGGGTGACAGCAGGGGGTTCGGGGGTCCCAGGGGTTTGGGGGCAGTGCCACGCTGGGCTGTGGAGGCCACTGTGAGGTGAGGGCTGGCTCTCATGGGCCTGGGGTGGAGTGCGTCTGGAGGGCCTGAGCAGAGGGGTGACATAACTGAGGTCGCTCACGGGACCCCACACTCTGGAAACGTATTAAGGACCCCAAAGAGCCTCTGCTCATGCGTGCTTTGTCTGTAGATATTTGCCGTATCTGAACTTAGCACTAAAGCGCTTTAAACAGATACACACCTACTCATTCAAGGTAACAATAGTAAATTCATTGCATGTTAACTTTTTTTTATGAAAAAGAAACTATCTTTTCCAAAGCAGAACAAATTTAGTGAGAAGAATGGCACTGTTGTACACGTTTGAAAATCTTCAAGGTCTGGATAAATAGAAGACGTTTGGGTCCCATACCTGGCTCTGTATCCAGTCCATTGCAATATTCACATCACGTAGCCTCTGGAGGGCTTCCTTATATACCTGTGAGAAAATGGGTGTAAAAAAGGCAAATGATGTCTCAGTATTATTATGAAAATAGTTTTGACTTTGTGGACCCCCAGAGTTCCCCAGACCACACTTTGAACACAGGTGATTTAACCAATATTGGTTGAGTACCTACTGTGTGCCGAGCATTGTTCCCGGTGAGGGAAAAGCACAGAGCACAAAGAACTGTTGGGTTTTCAAGGCATTACTTTGGCCACTTTGTGGAGAATGGACCACAGTGGGGTCCGTGGAGTTGGGGTCATGCCAGGGGAATATCCCAGCAGTGGCCTTGACTCAGCTGGTGGCTGGGGCAGGGGGAGGTGGGGTTGGATTCTGGATATTTTTGACGGCACATCCTACAGGATTTGATAATGGGTTGGGTGATGGGGTAGGAGAAAGACAGGGGCTTTCACCCTGGTCCCCTGGAAGGACTGAGATGCCATTTACTTACTGAGAAAGGAAAGGCTGGGAGCCTTTGAGAAAGGAGCCAGTTTGAGGGGAGGGAGGCAGGCATTCAGCTTTGTTTGTTTGTTTTTGTTTTTAAATTTATTATTTATTTTTGGCTGCGTTGGGTCTTCATTGCTGCGCACGGGCTTTCTCTAGTTGCGGCGAGCGGGGGCTACTCTTCGTTGAGGTACGCGGGCTTCTCATTGCGGTGGCTTCTCTTGTTGCAGAGCACGGGCTCTAGGCGTGCACGCTTCAGTAGTTGTGGCACGTGGGCTAAGTAGTTGTGGCTCGCGGGCTCTAGAGTGCAAGCTCAATAGTTGTGGCGCACGGGCTTAGTTGCTCAGCAGCGTGTGGGATCTTCCCGGACCATGGCTTGAACCCGTGTCCCCTGCCTTGGCAGGCAGATTCTTAACCACTGCACCACCAGGGAAGCCCCCGGACATCCAGCTTTGAATGTGTGTAGTTTCAGATGCCTGTTGGACATCCAGGTAGGGTGAGTGGCGTCCAGAACAAGGTCTGGGTTGGCATTTTGGGCGTATGTTGATGTACAAGTTGTGGACATCACCTTCTTTTTTCTTGGGTAAACACTGTTTACCCTAAACACCTAGGAGCAGAACGGCAGGGTCAGATGGGAGGTGTAAGTTTGACTTCCTAAGGAACTGCTGTGCTATCTCCAAAGTGCTTGTACCAGTTTCTGTTTCCACTGATGTGAATGAGAGTTTCGTTTTCTCCACATCCTCCTGAGCACTTGGACTGGCCAGTCTCTTCATTTTAACTGTTCCAATAGGTACATCACGGTGGTGAGGTAGCCCCCCGAATCCTTGTGCAGAAGGGTCTCCAAGACTTGTCGATAAGTGGAAAGGGAAGTTTTTGCAAACCAGTTTGTAAATTATGAAACCCATTTTTGAAAAGGAAAAAGAAAACCCTGTGAAATGCTTATATGAAGGTCTACAGGCGCATCGAAACAGGCTCTGGGGGCTACATGCCACATGGGCCACCCGATTGTCTTGGGAAGGGCAGTGGGGCATGGGCAGGGGACCTGCTGCTGTGGGATCAGCCCAGCATCCCCTCAGAGGGGGCTTCTCAGCAGAATCCTGGAAGAAGAGTGGGCCGTGAGCTGGTGGACGGGCTTTGAGCGGCACTCAGGAGGAGCTAACAGTGGACCAGGCCGGGGTCCTGCCCAAACTGATTGACATTTACTGCAGTCTTTTAAAGTATCACTGGTTGAAACGACTGGGTTTCCTAGACACCCCAGACCTTCATTGCTTGTGATTAGAACCTAGGCAGTAGTCTTAAGGAGCGTGTGGGTTACTTTGTATATTTATTTTTACCACATCTTTTTACATTTCTATTTTTACGTATGTTTTATTATTTATTTGTTTATTTTAGTGGTACCTGCTCAAAAAAGTTTTTTTATAAATAGGACTGAATAGTCAAAAAAGTTTGGAGTCTACTGGTCTACAGACTCAAAATGGCCATCAAAATTTTCAGAATTCCCATCCCAGAGCCTTTCTTTCTCTGCCGCATGAAGTTTGGTTCCTGTTTTCCTGCTCTCCAGTGAAACTGGGAGTAGCTGGGCTCCTAGCAGCTGTTTGAAAGCAAACGTGTCCCTGAGGCAGTGACCTTTCTCATTACCTAGGGGACTGGCAGTATGACATATGGCATTGGGCTTTGTGTCAAGGAGTCACAAGTTCTATTTTTGCTTATTTTTGTTGTTTTGCAGTGTGATCTTAAGCAAATTATCCCACCCTTTCATCCTCCTGTCTTGACAGATGGGAAGCAAGGCAGATGGCCACAGCTTCCCCTCTTCCGTAGCATCCGGTAAGAAGAAAACCATGTCTCAGGGAACTTTAGGGTTCCCAGGCATCCTCCCATATTTGTTTCTGGCTCTTACTAAGTTACTGAAATCTCAGTAGTTTTCACTGATTTGCTGACATCTTACAGCTGCCCCTTCGCCGAGTGATTTCTGGTTGTAGCTCACGTTAGTGGAGCACGTTTTGTCTTAGAACTGCCCACTCAGATCTCTCACTCCTTCATGTCTGGTTGTTCTTTTAAACATGTGTTGATAGGACTTGGTGAAGCAAAGTTAATGAATTTCCACTTTGGTCCCTCAAGGTAGGAAGGCCAAGGAGATTATCAACGCAGCTCGGGAAAACCTTGCCAAGATGATAGGTGGGAGGCCTCAAGATATGATCTTCACTTCCGGGGGCACAGAGGTAAACAGTCTCAACAGTCTCATGTTCTTTTAGCTGTAAGTTATTTTTTTTAAAAAGTAGAAGGTGGCTGCCTCTTGGTATTATTGTTTTTTAAAGAAAGAGTAATGCTTTGTCCTTGATATAATTAGCCAGCATTTATCCTATAAGTGAATTCCGGGGGGCTGATAGGATATTTGTTACATAACGTATAAATTAATTTGCTTTGCATTGCTATTTCAATAAAGAGAGTTTCCCCTTCATTTTGGCCTGTAATCATTCCTTTGAATCCCACTAAGTTGCTTACCTTGTTAAGAGTGTGAGGTTTCCGATCAGAATGGCCATCATCAAAACATCTACAAATAATAAATGCAGAGAGGGTGTGGAGAAGAGAGGACCCTTCTACATTGTTGGTAGGAATGTAAATTGGTGCAGCCACTATGGAGAACAGTATGGAGGTTCCTTAAAAAACTAAAAATAGAACTGCTGTATGACCCAGCAATCCCACTCATGGGCATACATCTGGAAAAGACAAAAACTCTAATTCGAAAAGATACATGCACCCCAGTGTTGATAGCAGCACTATTTACAATAACCAAGACATGGGAACAACCTGAATGTCCATGGACAGATGAATGGATCAAGATGTGGTGTAAATATATATACACAATGGAATACTACTCAGCCATAAACAAAGAATGAAATAATGCCATTTGCAGCAACATGGATGGACCTAGAGACTGTCATACTGACTGAAGTAAGTCAGACAGAAAGACAAATATAATGTGATATCACTTATATGTGGAACCTTAAAAAAATGATATAAATGAACTTATTTATAGACTCACAGACACAGCAAACAAACTAAGGGTTATCAAAGGGGAAACGGGGGAGAGATAAATTAGGAGTTTGGGATTAACAGATACACACTACTTATATAAAATAGACAACCAACAAGGACCTACTCTACAGCACAGGGAACTATGTTCAGTATCTGGTAATAATGTGCAATGGAAGAGAATCTGAAAAAGAACATATATATAATGGAATCACTTTGCTGTACACCTGAAACTAACACAACATTGTAAATCAACTCTACTTCAATTAAAAGAAAAAAAAAAAAGAGTTTGAGGTTTGACCCGATTTCAAAGGTACTTCTTTTTAAATTGATAGAAGATACTCAGTGACAGTGTGATGATGTCAAGGTCTCTACTCAGTTAGTAATTCTCACCATCTCATTTTCTTATTGGAGAAGAAGGTCATCCACAGGTGATGTGACTGTCTACATAAAAAACCAAGAGAATCTGCAGCTAGATTATTAGAGTTAGTAAATAAATTCAGCAAAGTTATTAGATAAAAAAATCAATTGTATTTTTATGTACCAGCAACAAACAGGTATTTACCAGAGCACCAAAAAATATCAAATACTTAGGAAATAAATCTAGTAAAAAAGCTTTTGTAAGACACCCGCACACACACGTTGGGAAAGGAATAGAAACATTACCGAGAGCCTTCAAAGAAGTTCTAAATAAATGCAGCATATACCATGTTCACAGATGGGAAGACTCAGTATGATAAATATGTCAGCTCTTTCCAGACTGATCTGTAGATTCAAAGCAACTTCAGTCAAAATTCTGACTCTTTTCTGAGGGAATCTCGCAAACTAATTTATATGGAAATACACAATGCCAAGAATAGCCAAATCTTCTTCAAGATTAAGAACACCGTGAATTGTTCTACTAATTAAGGCAGCCGGTCTTAGGGCAGGAGAGACACGAGGCCCGAAACAGGGCCATACCTGGATGGGTCCTTGTCACGTGACAAGGCCTGGCCTTTGTGATGTTGAAGAGATGGATTTCTTAGATAAAATACAGAGAACTTTAATCATAAAAGAAAAGGTCGATAAATTCTACCACCACCACCACCACTAAACAATTTGTAGTTCATCAGAGAACCCTGAAGGAAATCAGAAGACCAGCCTGACAGTGGGCGAAGATGGTAGAAAAATGGGCGAGAAAAGTGAATATGCACTTCACAGAGAAACCCATGTGGTTTCTACGTGGGAGAAGGTACTCAGCCTCATTAAGTGATCAGAATACAAGGGTAAACAACAACATGGGTTGCCTCTGCCCACCCATCAGGATGGTAACAATTAAGAAGTCCAACGACAAGAAGTATTGACAAAGGATGCACAGCAGCGAGCACGCACGGTGCTGACAGGAGTGTAGGCTGGAAACCGTTCTGGAAGGTGGGTTGGCATCACCTCGTGAAGTCGAGGCCATGCCACCCCATCAGCCAGCAGCTCCTCTCAGGTACGTACCATAGAAGAAGGGGGCACGTGGGCAGCAGGGGCAGGCAGGAGAGACTGGCGACAACGCAGGTGTCCCTGCAAATAGCATGGACCGATATTCACACCTCTGATGCAGTCCCGGGTGGAAGGGTACCACACAGTCCGCAGCAGCAGCGCGGAGGGATCGTGAGTGTGGAGCGGCGGGCGTCAGCCAGAGGCTATGCTGAGCCGGGCCCGGGCCGAGCCAAGCTGACCAGAGGGGAGGGGTGCTGCCGCCAGGCCCCTGGGCACCGACCACCCCCCAGGACCAGACTCCTGGTGCCCCGCAAGGGGCCGCCCCTGCTGCCCTTTGGGCCGTTCTGGTCTTGCCTGGGGCCAGGTGCTGAGGAGTCTGGTGGCCTGGGGGCACGTGGTACGTTTTTAGTTGTGACTGACCAGTTCCGACAGAGGCTGCTGTGCTCCCAGTGCCACCTGGGCGCTCAGTGTGGAGTCCTGTGCCCTTTGGTACCTGCAGGTGGAGGCGGCACATGGGAGGGGCCCAGGCACCTTCGTCGCGTTCACGGTGGGTTGGCTCAGCTTTGACCTGAGGTGTGCGGCCCCCGAAGGCCCTCCTTTCCGGACCAGGAGTCGCTGTGTTTTGTGCGAGGGGGTGACCTGGGGCTTTAAAGGGCCATCCACCTTCAGAGGGACACATCCAGCCTTCCATCCTGGCCGTCTCCTCCCCTTCATCTGGTTTGCTGCGTCTCAGACCTGGGTGAGCCCTGCCGTCGGCCGCCTGGTCCTCCATCAGGGCCACCTGTTGGACTCTCAGTGCCTTTCAAGTCCTCTGAGCACCGGCTGACCGTGTGTGGGTTCTTCAGCACCCGACAAGCAGCAGCCACCGCCTTCCCGCTGGGCGGCGCCTTCAGACACACGAATAGGTTGGATCTTCAGTTGAGAAAAAAATTAATTCAGTTCAATTCCGTTCATTTGAAGGTCAAAAAGAGGCAAAATTAGCAAAATCACTTAGGGATCCTTACCTAGGGAGGAAAAGCATAAAGAAAAGCAAGGAAATGATTACCATGCGAATCAGCCTGGAGGTAGCTGGCATGGGGGCGGGGCAGTGATTGAGGGCGGGTGTGAGGTGTTCCCTGGTGTGGGTCCTGTTTTCGTCTTGACCCAGGTCACGGTTACTCAGGCCTTCACTGTCATACTTCCTCATGAAACTTACATTTCTGTTTTATACACTTTTCTGTGTGTATGTTGTATTTAGCAGTAAGAGAAAAGGTCCTTAAAAACAAAAATCTCCCACCCATCCCCTCAGTTATCCACTTCCTCTCCCTACAGGAGACCAGTATTGTTAGTTTCTGTCGAGTCCCGCAGAGATAGCCTTTGCCTTAAAAACAGATTAAGTGTGTAGATTTATATCTTTTCTCCTTCCCTTTCTACCTCTTCAGGGATTTGGGGGATGTATAAGCAAATGTGTATGTTTCTCGCCCTTTTTATACAAATGGTATGATGCTGCATATAATGTTCGCTACCTTTTCTCATTTAACAAGTGCCTTTGAGATCTCTGGCATCAGCCCTTAGGGCATTCCCTCTGTGCTTTTACATCTGCTTGGTGTCCACTGAACAAGTCCCCTTATGGATAGACGTTGAAGGGTTTCCTGAGGTTTTGCTGTTACGTCATTGTACACTTAACCAGTAACCGTTTACATCCATCATTTTGCTTCTGTGCAAGTGTAGCTGTAGGATCAAGTCCAAGAACTAGACTTCCTGGGTCAGAGGGCCTGTTTGATAGATATGCCAGATGGCCCTTAACAGAGGTTGTGCCAGCTCACATTCCCACCAGCGATGGGTGCCTGGGCAAAATATTCTTTTTGACAGATTTAGAAAATTTTTAAAATGCATAATGTTGCTTAACAAAAAGCCTGCATAATCCACCGGAAACGAATTCTGATATTTTTGAAAGTTGAAAACCCCCAAATCTTTGTAGTTCGGCCTTTCAGAAGGTGCAGCTCAGGAGCTGGTTTTCTTTGAGACCGTTTTTCTGTTTGGTTGTTTTCTTTTTAAATGTTAGCTACAAAGGAAACTACAAATGAGAGAGATTGTTACTCTGAGTCTCCCCTTAGCATAGTTTTCGTAAATGATTTTTCTGCTCTGTCTCTGCAGTCAAATAATTTAGTAATCCATTCTGTGGTGAAACATTTCCACAAAATCCATGCCGCAGTGGGGGACACGGCCGAGCGTCCCAGCCCAGTGGAGGGGGCCCTGCCTCACATCGTCACCTGCACCGTGGAACACGACTCCATCCGCCTGCCCCTGGAGCACCTGGTGGAAGAACAAGTGGCAGGTGAGTGGGCAGCTGGCTGAGGTGCGGCGACCCAGGGGGGCCCGGTGAATCATTCACCCTCTGGCGCTTGGGCTGCCTGGCTGTGCCCAGTGGCGAAGGTTCCTTCCAGAAGGTTACGAGGCCTGTCCTTCCAGATTTTCCCTGGGGGAGAAATCAATCACCAGTGCATGGAACTGGTCGTTTATCACCGCATGAGACGTCAGACTCTTGTACATGATACATACGTGCATATTTAATAGCATGCCTATAAATGCTAACCCGTGCTTTTCGTTGTTTGATTTTAATGATTGAATCTTGGCTTGCACTCCCTCTGGTAGAAAGAAAGTGGATCCAGTAGACATCAAGTTCTGGTGGTAAAAACAAGAATAAGTGCACCCCTGCTGGGAGCCTGTTAGCTCAGCAGAGAGGAGGTGAGGGCCTCCCGGGGTGAGGGGAGCAGAGGTGGGGGGTGGTGCTGGGGCCCCACCGGGAGGTGCACCTGGCCAGGCAGTCTGAGGGGCAGGTGGAGCCTCTGCCCAGCAGTGGCAGTGGCCCTGGCTACTTCTGGTCCTTTCACATGTCCTGTGATGTGACATCTCAAGACACAGGGTATAGATACTAGCTTTTGGAAACGTAAGAGACATTTTTCCCAAGACAGCCAGGGTTGACCTCTCCTTGGAATAAGACTGGTTTTCTACGAAGCATTTGCCTTCTTACCTAATCTGCCTGGAAACCTGAAGGGGAGGCAGGCGAGAGTGTTCTTATCTTAAAGATAAAGGAGGGCTTCCCTGGTGGCGCAGTGGTTGAGAGTCCGCCTGCCGATGCAGGGGACACGGGTTCGTGCCCCTGTCTGGGAAGATCCCACATGCCGCGGAGCGGCTGGGCCCGTGAGCCATGGCCGCTGAGCCTGCGCGTCCGGAGCCTGTGCTCCGCAACGGGAGAGGCCGCAGCAGTGAGAGGCCCGCGTACCGCAAAAACCAAACCAAAACAAAACAAAACGATAAAGGAGTGTGCCAGAACTGCTCGGTTTGACTGTGAGCCTTGTTACCACTTTTCCCCTTTGACCACTGGAAAGGTTTTTCTCTTTATGCACCACTCTAACTAAAAAACAGTCATGTCCAACTTTCTTGTTTAAACTGTCCTTCCTTTTAATCCCTGGTGCCTTTTTTTCTGTGTCTCAGGTACAGGGAAGGGCAACTTAATACATTGTTATTGGTTGCTGTTACATTTTGCCTCTTGTTTAAAATTGTACAAGTTTTTACAAAGAATAGACACGCACCTAAAGATCACAGAAGGGCTTCAAGCATTGCTGTAAAGTGGAGGCTCTTCCCCGCCACCCCCAGTCCGGCTCCTCAGAGGCAGCTGCCCCTCAAGTCTACCCTCAGGTTTTATCGTGGTTGTGGCATTATCACTTTAATTACTTCCACGTTAATACTTAATAACTTACACACATAATCTCCATTTCTTAGCATCTATTTGTTGACTCCCTGGTATAAAACGGGGACTTGACCTCAACTGTCTCACACCCCTCCACCTCCACGCTGTCCAATTGTTGCTGTTGTTTTTTACTGTATATGTCAGCTTTATGGAGATGGAGCTCACGTGTGATACTCTTCACCCGTTTGAAGTGTACGATTCGGTAGTTTTTAGTGAATTCACAGAGTCGTGCAACCATCACCACAGTCGATTATAGAGCATGTCCTGACCCTCAAAAGAACCTCGCATCTGTTAACTGTAACTCTGTTTCCCTCAACCCTGGGCAACCACTAATACATTCTGTCTCTGGAGATTTCCCCATTCTGGACTTTCATATGAATGGAGTCACATGATATGTGGTCTTTTGTAATTGGCTTCTTTCACTTAGCATCATGTTTTCAGGGTTCATCTGCGTTGTAGCCTGTGTCAGTATTCCATTCCTTTTTATGGGTGAATAATATTCACATTTTATCCATTCGTCAGTTGATGAACATTTGATGGACATTTGATACTATGAATAATGCCATTGTGAGCATTTGTGTAGAAGTCTTTGTGTGGACAAATGTTTTTGTTTCTCTTGAGTATATACCCAGGAGTGAAATTGCTGTGTCATGTGGTAACTCTGTTTCACCTTTTGCAGTATCTTGGTGTTTAACCCTAACCTCTGTATCCCGCAGTAGCTGCACTGTTTTCCATTTCCACCAGCAGTGCCTGGGGGCTCCAGTTTCTCCATGTGTCCTCGCCAACGTGTGTTAGTGTCTGTGTTTTCCGTAACAGCCGTCCTAGCGGGTGTGAAGTGAGAGCTCGTGGGGGTTTTGATCTGCGTCTCCCTGAGGGCTGACGATGTTGAGCAGGTGCTCATAGACTTAATAAAAAGACAGAAGTCCTGGCCGGAGTTGCCTTTCCTTTGCTCCCCTTTGAGTCCCGTAGTGGATGCACCAGCTCCGCCCTTCTCTTGCTGCCCGCCCACCCCGGAGCCCGCCTGCTGTCGAGGCCAGCGCTGCTGCCACCCACTTGCTGGGTATGAGGCGGGGGTCCTCGTCCGTCGGAACCTGGTCCCCTGCCTGCCTCGGCAGTGGGCCCCCACCCTGCTCTCCACAAGTGCACCCTGAACGTGGGTGGCCTCTGGATCCTTTCCTACTTTCTGTGGAGTTAGTTTTCGCCTATCAGTGTCCTGGGTGGGTTCTCCCTGATGCTGTTAGTCTAATGACATCATCTTTCTGTATTCTGGGCATTGCTCAAAATTCCTTGTCCACAGGTGGTCGCCCTTATTGAGAAATATATCCGTTCTCTCGTTTCCATGGGACCTTGAGGGGAAAATGGGTGTGTTTGTCTTCACCATTTTGAACCCAAAACCTCGATTTGGTCACGTCTCGTTATTTTCCATCTGCAGTAGTAGGATTCTAGGGGCCTGGAGCAGTGCCTGGCACACGGTAGGTGCTTAACAAAGGCTGGGTCAGTGCTGAATGAGGGAAGGTTAAGTACTTAGCGCCTCAAGATGCTCCCATGAACTGAGGGCGTCTCAGCTGCTTGCGGGTCCCTTAGAGGCGGAACAGGGTGTCCCCAGACAGCCCCCCAACTGAAGCTCATTGACGAAGCCTTCAAGCCAGTTGTCTGTGGACGGGGCGATAAAGGGGCTCATATTCCTTCTTCATAGTTTTCTGAACCTTTATGATAAACTGCTTTTTTCACTGTGTCTAAGTAAATGTTCCAGAAAGGATACATTGTGGGTTTGACCTCATGCTTGTGTCTTATTCCTCAGAGGTCACCTTTGTCCCCGTGTCCAAGGTGAATGGGCAGGTGGAGGCTGAGGACATCCTGGCGGCCGTCCGCCCGACCACGTGCCTCGTGACCATCATGCTGGCCAATAACGAGACAGGCGTCATCATGGTGAGTCGCGGCACCTCTTAGGAAGATGGAGCGCGGACCCCGGCTTCCCAGCCCCGCCTCTTCTTTCCCCTGTTCTTCAATCCGGGAACCTTTTGGTGCATCCTCATTAACAACTCCTCATTTCTCTCATTCCGTCTTCATCAAATCAACACACTCAGCCGTGTGTTTCTCCCTCTCCAGCCAGTGCCTGAGATCAGCCGGCGAGTCCGAGCCCTGAACCAGCAGCGGGCGGCGGGCGGGCTGCCGGGGGTGCTTGTGCACACGGATGCCGCCCAGGCCTTGGGGAAGCGGCGCGTGGACGTGCGGGACCTGGGCGTGGACTTCCTGACCGTCGTGGGCCACAAGGTGCGTCCATCCGCCTTCCTGCCCTCCTGCCGGGGAGACACCTCGATGCCCGCGAGGCTCACCTGCGAGCAGAGCCCACGGCCCCGCTCATCCTCCGTCACCGGTGCACCCGGCACACATGCCCGGCGAGGCCCTGGGTCATGGTGATGGGCAGACCGCGGCCCCGCCCTCGGCAGCTCAGAGGAGAGCCCGGCAGAGCTAGGATGCCGAGGGCTGAGTGCCCACCGGAAATACTGGGCAGCGCAGCCCATAGGGGGCAGGAGGGGAGGCCAGGTAAGGCCATCGGGGGAGGGGGGAGTGGGAGGGGGAGAGGCAGGGTCGGGGGGAGGATGGGGGGAGTGGAGGTCACAAGTGGGTTTAGCCCGGGAGTGAGTGAGCTCTGCAGCCCGGAGAGTGCGTGCAGACCCCTCCTCAGCCCACTCAGCCCCACACCCAGGGACGGAAGATGCAGGGTTCAAGAATGATGGCCTCTCTAACTTGACTAAAAGTGTGGCTCTGAGTGTGAGGGTGTGGTTTTCACGGCCCTCATCTCTAGGGTGTGCTGGGGAAATAGTTAACAGTGAAGACCCTTCTGAAGCTTTTGCTCGTCTTTCCAGCAGCTGACTAGAAGCTGGAGTATTTTTAGTAATTTCCCCTCAGCTGGTTCCCAAGGGAGTGAGGTGCTGGCCTGACACGGCGGCCCTTGAGATTTCTAGCTAATGTGGATTTGAGAGCATGGAGTCATCCACAGGACAGCCCTTGGCCATCTCTCTCTCCAGCCCCTCTCCTTCACAGAGTCTCCCACGCGCCATGCAGGTGCTCTGCTGCCCCCGAGCTGGGGGCCAGAGTCCAGCACCTGCCCCCACCCAAAGGCTTCTGTGACCCCCGCGTGTCTGCAGTGGGGATGGGTGGCCACCTGCGGGACCAGAGGAGGTGGGCCCGGACGTCGTAGAGTATCTCTGTGGGCCTCTCAATACGTATATGGAGAAGGTCCCCAGAAGGTTCTTGTTGAATAAATGACTGACTTTTCTTTCAGTTCTATGGCCCCAGGATTGGAGCACTTTATGTCCGAGGGCTCGGTGAACTCACCCCTCTGTACCCTATGCTGTTTGGAGGTGGACAAGAACGGAATTTCAGGCCAGGGTAAGGTAGAAGTTTAACGAGGTGTCTGGGCCGCTGGCTGTGTTGTCTGTATGTAGGGCAGTGGCTCTCCCGTCTCTTGGAAGCACGGTGATAGCACAGCACTCTCATCTCCACTGAGTCAGATGTGGCTCCACTGGCCGGTTCTACACTTGGGACTCACAGATCTGCAGTCTCGTTGGGGATGATTCAAAGCAGATGAAGGAAGTCTCTTTCAGCTGCTTCAAAGCATCCAGTTTCTTTTGTTATTTTGGCCCAGCCCACCAAAGAGGTGCCGCCGGAGCCCCCCAGCTGAGATGTGCTGCCCTTCTCTTGACTGTGGGGTGAGCACCTGGTTTCCTCTCTGAAAGCGCCTGTGTCCCCGTGACCTGCAGGGGTGTTTTAACCAGGGAATGAGGTGGCACCAGCACCACACGTGTTGTCAGAAACTTGATAACAAGAGGAAGAAACAGACAACATGCGGTGAGTTCCCTAGGGTTTCTCTTGCTTCCTTTATTCCAGAATTAGAGCAGAAGAAGCCCGCAACTCAGAAACACCAATAAGGGCTGATGAAAAATGCCCAAGAAAGCCCTCTCTCTCCAGCCAGTGGACCAGGGAAAGGAGAGCCTAGCAATACAGAGAACTTTTAGACAATCCCTGCTCTTCTCCAGCCCGTCACCATGGTAAACTGCTGCTGCCCCCACCTGTGCCACAAAGGAGAGCAGGGAGCCCAGACTTCACCCACACAGGCTGTGACAAGAGCTCCATGCCCCGCCTGTGTCAGACAGGGCCTAGTGAAGAGCCAGGACTTTTGCCCCACCACAGTCATGCACCCCACCAAGGTGTCAGTGGAGACCATGTGGGCACCCTGGGCTTCCACCCATACCCATCACTAACAAGGTGCGTTCTCCTCTTGGATGTTGACACAGGCCGAGGAGGGAACCTGGACGTCCGCCCCCGCTTGGCAGTAGTCAGTTGGCACACTCCTCCTGCCAGAGGAAGGTCAAAAAAAGACAGCTAATATGGAAGGGTTAAGAAGCATCCAGATTCATAACGACATAGGGCTGTCCAGGTTTCAACTGAAAATCGCTCATCATACTGAGAACCAGAAAGATCTTAAATCAAAGAAAAAAGACGATCAAGAGATGCCAACACTGAGATGACAAAGATGTTAGAATTATCTGATAAGAGATTTTAAGGCAAACACAATAAAAATGCTTTAATGAGCAATTATGAACACCCTCGAAACAGAAGAAATAGAAAGTGTCAGCAAAGAAGAAGAAGATGTAGAGAAGAACTAAACAGAAATTTTAGAACTAAAAACTACAACAGCCAAAGTAAAAAGCTCAGTGGACAGGCTCACCAGCAGAATAGGGGCAACAGAGGAAAGAGTGAACTGAAAGAACAATAGAAGTAACCAATATAAAAAACAGACAGGAAGTAGACTGGAAGAAGATTGAACAGAGCCTCCGGGGACCTGTGGGACTATAGCAAAAGATCTAACATTCATTTCGTTGAGGTCCTGGAGGGACAGGAGAAAGAGGGTGGGATGAAAAAGAACTTGAAGAAATAATGGCTGAAAACTTCCCAAATTTGGCAAGAGACATAAACCCACAGATTCAAGAAGATGAACAAAACCCAAACAGGATAAACCAAAAGAAATCTACCCTAAGACATAAATAGTAAACTTCCATAAAAGAAAGACAAAGAAAAATCTTGAAAGCAGCCAGAGGAAAGAATAAATAACACCTTATCTATAGGAAAAAAATAATTTGAATGACAGTAGATTACTCTTCTGAAGCCATGGAGGCCAGAGAAAGTATGCAAAAATTTTCAAGTGCTCAAAGAAAAGAACCGTCAAGCCAAATTAAAAACACAGCAGAAATATCCTTCAGGAACGAAGAGGAAATCAAGACATTCTCAGATGAAAGAGAAAACTAACAGAATTTATCACCAGAAAACCTATGCTAAAAATGACTAAAGAAGTTCTTTACACAGAAGGAAACAGTAAAAGAAGGAACCTTGGAACATCAGAGAGAAAGAGCATGGTAAACAAAAATATGGGTAAATAGGGGGCTTCCCTGGTGGCGCAGTGGTTGAGAGTCCGCCTGCCGACGCAGGGGACGCGGGTTCGTGCCCCGGTCCGGGAAGATCCCATATGCCGCGGAGCGGCTGGGCCCGTGAGCCATGGCCGTTGAGCCTGCGCGTCCGGAGCCTGTACTCCGCAACGGGAGAGGCCACAACAGTGAGAGGCCTGCGTACCACACACACACAAAAAAAAACGGTAAATAAAATAGACTTTCCTTCTCTTCAGTTTTCTAAATTATGTTTGATGGCCTAAGCAAAAGTCATAGCACTGTCTGATGTGTTTCAAAATGTATGTGGAAGAAATATTTAAGATAATTATATTATGAATGGGGGAGGGTAAAGGGATGTAAAAGGAGGTAAGGCTCCTGTTCTTCACTTGAACTTCTGAAAACTGTTTAAGTAACCCACAGAAAGGTAGGAAAAAGAAAACAGAGAAAAAATAAAATGGAAGACTTAAGAGCGAACATCAACAATTACATTAAATGTAAATGGTATAAATATACCAATTAAAAGGCAGAGATTGGCAGAATAAAAATTTTAAAAACTGATCCAACTATATGCAGTCTATAAGAAACTTGCTTCAAATATAGCAAGAGGCAAGTTAAAAGTAAAGGTTGGAAAAAAGTGTATCACACTAACATTAATCTAAGGAAAGCAGGAATGGCTATATAACATGAGATAAAGGAGACTCCAGAGCAAAGAAAATAGAAAATTGCCGGGGATGGGGGAGGCAGGGAGAATTATATAATGGTAAAAGAATCAGTCCACCAAGAAGACATAGCAATCCTAATGTGGATGCACTAAACAGTAGAGCTGAAAAATATGTGAGGAATAAAAAAACCAAACTAAACTGAAAGGATAAATAGACAGATCCACAATTATAGATGGAGACTTCAACACCCTTCCCTCAACAATGGATAGAACAACTAGACAAAAATTGGCTACGGTGTAGAAGAACGCAACAACACCCATCAACCAGCAGGATCTAATCAACCTGTTTGGAACACTCCACCCAACAACAGCAAAATACACATTCTTTTTTTTTTTTTTTTTTTTTTTCAGTACACGGGCCTCTCACTGCCATGGGCTCTCCCATTGCGGAGCACAGGCTCCAGACGCGCAGGCTCAGCAGCCACGGCTCACGGGCCCAGCCGCTCAGCGGCATGTGGGAACTTCCTGGACCAGGGCACGAACCCGTGTCCCCTGCATCAGCAGGTGGACTCTCAACCACTGCGCCACCAGGGAAGCCCGAAGAGTAGTTTTTCAGTTTGTTACATCAGTGTATGGGAACCACTGGTCTTCGGGGGTGTTCCTGTCCCCTCCTGCACAGCCCCCCTGAACACACACACTACACCCCAAGTCTCTAGTAACAAAAGATTCATCCCATATTACAGTTGAGAGGCTTCAGCTGAAACGTCAGCTGAAGGGAACGGAGTGGGGAGTGAGTTCCTCAGACCCTCACCTGGTTTGGCAGGGGGACCAAAGAGGGGGGCTCTGGGGCCTGCAGTCGGAGGAGGGCTTTCTCCTGGGTAGGAGGTGGGTCCAGGTAGAATTGTCACTTGGACACCCACTGTATATTGCCCAGTGGGCCACGTCTGCTGTCCCTGGGCGATGACGGGGGTTTGGGGGCTGGCAGCTGCCCTTGTTTAGGAAAGATGTTGGTGTGACTTTATTTGAACACCTGACTTTCAGATAGACAGGATTCCTTCCAGGGATGTCTGTTAATCGCTTTGCATGGAAATAGGATTGAATCCTTTGTCTCTTACAGGACAGAGAACACCCCGATGATTGCCGGCCTTGGGAAGGTAAGCCTTGGTGACCTCGGACAGCTGAAGCCGTTGCGTTGTCCATCGGTGTCTTCCTCCTGTGTTTCCGCCTCACTCTCACACCACTGCCACACTCGCCACACTTCTGACACCAGATGTGCGGGGTTGGGGGTCCCCACCCAGCAATTCTGTGGCACCAGCTGAGTTTCCTACAATTCAATTCTGACACTGTCTACCCAGAGTTACTGTCAGAGCCCACAGGCTAAGGGCTCAGTTGTGGGCACCCACAGCTTCAGATGCCAACTGCCACCCACACTTCTGACCAACCAGCTGTGAATCAGAGGTTCCCATGGCCCCTCCTTGAGTTCAGTGTATTTGCTAGAACAGCTCACAGAGTGCAGAGAAACTAGAGTACTGGTTTATTATGAAAGGATATGATAAAGGGTACAGGTGAACCTCCAGAAGGAAGAGAAGCGTAGGGCAGGGGATGTGGGAAGGGGCTTCCGTGCCCTCTCCAGGCACCAGCCTCCTAGCACCTCTGTGATCAGCAACCTGGAAGCTCTCTGAACCCACACTGTTGAGGTTTCTATGGAGGCTTTGATCAGTCATCAACTCCGTTTCCAGCCCCTCTCCCGTCTCTACAAAAATTCCAGGCTTCTCATCAGGGCTCGGTGACCAGCCCCTATCCAGGAGCCCACCCAGGGTCGCCTCATTAGGGCAAAAGACACTGTCATCCAGGAAGTTCCAAGGGATTTAGGAGCTTGGCAGCAGGAAGCAGAGCCCAAGCCAGAATATTAGAATAAAGGCTGCTCCTCATGCTTAGGAAATTCCAAGGGTCTCGGAAGCTCTGTGCCTGGTCCAGGGCGGAGGCCAGAGCGCATATTTTCTATGATCTCACATCAGTTTCCCAGCAGCTTTAATAGGTATCCTGGCTTTAGGAGAGATCACATTCATGATCCCAAGAAACAGACCAACATAAGAGGAACCTTGAATTGTATTTATCAACCTGGAGATGTGCTTTTTAAGAAATGTGGAGTGGGTTTCATACACTTAGCATTTAAAAGGGAAGTATCTTTTCTCAAGTCTCTTCTAATATTAAAAGCAATGACGTCATCACCACAGGTTTGCTCATCCCCTGGGTCCAGTTACCCCCCGCCCCCCGAGATGGTGACAGAGGGGCAGCTTCTTAAAGATCTTCCTGATGAGGATTAGATGGCGGCGCAGCAGCAGCAGGCCCCTCCGCTCCCTTCTGCAGCCGTGGCCCTTTCCTCGCTCCTGGCTTGCATCTGTGCCAGGGCCCTCTGACCCTGCCGTCACGGGAGGGGTGTCACACCATTGTCGCCCCCTCCCCTTGCTCAGCCTGGCCCTCCTCGGTGTGGTCTGGCTCGGGACACGCCCCCCCTCTCCCCTGGGAGGTGTGTCCTGGCCCCCCTGGGGCGAGTCAAGGTCTCTATGCTGCCTTCCACCCCTTCACCCGTGCCGGCTGAAGAAAGGCGCCCCCCTGCGGCCACCCCCTGCCCTGCACCCTCACAGCCCTCTGCCAGCACGTTCCTCCCCCAGCCTCTAAAACCGGCCTCCCGTGGTCCTCACTGCTCCAGCTTCTTCCCGAGCCCTCCGCCCCGCGGAGCAGCCCGCACGCACTCTCACCCCCTACCCTTCTCCTGACACCTGCTCTGCTCCCCGGAAGCTGGTCGAGGAGGTCCCCATTTCGCCCTGTGACCTCCTGCAGCTGTGGGACCGCTTCTCCCCCCAGAGGTTCCTTCTCTGCCTCTTCACCCGTCAGCATCCTGGGTGCCTCCTCTCTCTCTCGCTGTGCTCACCCTGTCCCGTGGCTCTGATGCCAGCCTGTGCTCCGGTCTTGGACTTGACGTCTCAGGGCAGGTGCTGACCTGCTGGGAGGCCCACGTCCCACCTGCTTCCTCAACATGTCCTCTGAGCCCACGATGTGTCCTGCTCTCTCTCCTGCATCGTTGGCGTCTCTCCCCGTGGTGCCTCCTGCCACCCAGGCTCTCAGCTGAGAAATCTAGGAGGTGCCTTTGATCTGCCCTGTCCCGTCCCACGCACCTGATACAGCAGCCGGGCCTGTCTGTTCAGTCTCCACGAGAGGTCCAGGACCTGCCTCTTGTACCGACTAGGCCGGATCATCCCCGTCTTGTGTGTGGACGCCTCATCCACTCTCCACGTAGCATCCAGTTCTAACACACAGATCAGAGCAGCCCACCCCTTGCTCAAAATCCACGTGCATCTGCCTTGTGTTTAGGCTCAGATCCCCCCTGTCATGGGGCCTCTGGGGCGCTGTCCCCCTTGCTCACTGTGTTCCAGGAGCACTCGCCTTTCCCCCTGCAGGGCCTTTGCCTGGAATGCCCTTCCCCGCTGCCCCGAGTTCCCGTCACGGCGCCCACCCGTCGGTCTGCCGTGGTCACCTCTTCCCTGGGATGGATGTGCCTTCAGGACTGGGATTGCCTTTGGCCGCCGGCTAGGGACTCTCCAGCGCCTGGGGTATCCGGAAGCCTGAAAAAGTAAATTCCTGTTAACAAGTGAAGGGTGCTCGGCACTTATCCCGGCCCCGGTCACACGGTCGGCGCGTACTGTGTATCTGTGAGGTTCCAGAGAGTGAGCAGGTTGAGGCCGTGTCACCGGTCTGCCTTCGGGGAGAATCACCTCTGCTGCTTAAAGCTGTCTTGCTCCCCTTGTTTCACCGTAACCGAGGGGCCCTCCTGTGTCCCTAGGCGGCTGAGCTGGTGGCAGAGAAGTGCGAGGCCTACGAAGCCCACATGCAGGCTGTGCGCGACTACCTGGAGGAGAGGCTGGCGGTGAGTGCCCGTGGCCCGGAGCTCTGGGGACAGCGGGGCCGAGACCCCCAAGGTGGGCTCCAGACCAGGCGACTTTCTCACAGACACGTGACAGAAATACCAGAGACGGAATATCTCAGGGTTGTGTGAAGACGATCCACATGTATTCAGAAGTTTTTTCTCCCAGTTATTTGCTCTCCATAGCCAGTCTCCCTGACTATTAGCAGTAGATGTTTATCAGTAAGATAATCATTCTGTGTGTTGAGGGTGAGGGTTTTTTTCTTCCTGCCACACCGCGTGGCTGCCGAGATCTTAGTTCCCCAACCAGGGACTGGACCCAGGCCCTCAGCAGTGAGAGTGCAGAGCCGGACCGCCAGGGAATTCCCGAGAGTGAGGTTTTGTTTTCCAGAAAGTCTGAAGTTCAAGCAGTTGGGGGGAGGGGCTTCGAAGATGCTACTGCACATATTCTGTTCATTTTCCAGGCTGAGTTTGGTGAGCGAGTCCATCTGAACAGCCAGTTTCCAGGCACTGAGCGACTCCCCAACACCTGTAACTTCTCCATCCAGGGACCCCGGCTGCAAGGTGACGACTGCCCCCAGCTCTCCCTGGCTGGGGGCTGGGCTGGGCTGGGCACAGCTTGAGCTGTGGGGAGGCGTGGGCACTGGCCGAGGCATGGTCACCCCACCAGGCACTGTCCTGTGGTGGTGGGGCTCTGGGCACAGCTGCTGACCTGCTCCAGGTGCTAAGGATCTCTCTGGACACAGCACAGCGGCGCTCAGCTCTCACAGGGTCCTAGCCCCGCCCCAAAGATGTGAGGGATGGAGATAAAGTGAACTGAATTTTAGGCTAGTTGGTCCATCTTTGTCTGCAATTTTTACAAAACATTTTATGAGGGTCAGGAAAGTAGAGGCAACCAAGTGAAAACTGGCCCAGAGTCAGGCTGAAGTGCAGATCTGTGGGCTTCATTAGTTCCTGCGATCTCTGCCTCCCAGCTGGAAAAGTTAGGGTTCGGGTTAGGATTAGGCTTGGGGTTAGCGTTAGGATTAGCCTTAGGGCGACTCCTATCCCAGACGCTTAGGACTTGGCTGCCCGGAGTCCCTGAGGCTTGAGTCCTGGGTGTAGAGCATCCTGTTTGTCTGGGAGGAGATTACGGTGGCCCCAAGAGCACGGGAGAGCCGACCTGAAGGGCAGTTTTCACCTCTTAGAAGAAGAGGTCGTTGCCTCGTGGTCACTCTGAGAAACGGGGCAGCGTGTTTGGACCATGAAGAAACCCTGGGGCGGCCGTCACCGGGTCTGGAGTGCATCCTCGTTGGGAAGGAAGCACACGGCTAACTCTCCAAATCTCCCCGCTATGGGAAGGGAAGTTCCTCCCTCTAGTGTCTTCCCCCCTTTTTCTGGGGGCAGACTTTATATTCTGTGATGACCTGTGTTAATTTAAATGAGACAGGCTGTTCGTTTTAATTAAATCAGCAGTCATCGGTGTTGGGGTGTTTTGTTTGTTTGGTTGGTTTTGGTTTTTTTTGGCTGCGCCACGTGGCTTGTGGGATTTTTAGTTCCCCGACCAGGGATCGAACCCGGGTCCTCGGCAGTAAGAGGGCAGAGTCGTACCCACTGGACCGCCAGGGAATTCCCATCACTGTATTTTTTTAAATCTCTGTGCCTGTGAAGGAAGAGGGAAGTGCCTTCTAGCTTAACACAGACAGCTCCCAATGTCTCTCCCTTTAGAAAACGGAGACGTCAAGTTAGACATTATTACCAGGACAGCACGTTATTCGGTAAGGCAGCTCATGAGGATTCTGCGAGTCCTGCCAGGCAGCTGATGGTACCACATTCTCAAGGCCAGTCTTATGAGGCCGAAGAGTGTCTGCTTTTCTGCAGCCAAGGGGCAGAGGAAGCGCTTCCTCTGGGACCTGCTGTGGTTTCTCTCACCTGCCGTCAGAGGGACCTGTGCCCTGGGATTCCGTCAGGTGGTACGAGGGAGGGAGCGTCCAAACTTGCAGCAGGGAAGAGAGGCAGCCCCCGCCTGGACTCCACCTCAGGGGCCCTGTGCTCTGTCTCCTAGGCCGCTTGGTGCTGGCCCAGTGCAGGACGCTGCTGGCCAGCCTAGGGGCTGCGTGCCACTCGGACCATGGAGACCGGTGAGTGCTCTCCACGTACTTGGCCACGGCATCCAGGGCGCATCCGGGCTCTAGGTTTGGGCAGCTCTGCAGCCTAGCAGGGGCGTGGACAGTGACCAGACGGCGCAGGCCCTCGGGAGGAGCGAGTGGGAGCTGCAGCCTTCAGGGGCCTCGGGCTGGACCGGGAGACAGGCAGCAGGGCTCCGTGTGAGGTGGGGAGTGGGGAGGAGGGGCGGGCTGGTGCAGCAGGGCCGGGCTGCGGGCGCCCACTTCAGCCTCGAGAAAACCGGGAGCTGTGACCAGATTTGGGTTCAGATCACGCCCCCTGCCAGGAGCGGGCGGAAGCGGGAGGGGAGGGTGGAGCCTCGGGCCTGGGCATCGGGAGCAGCCCTGCTGGAGGAAGAGAAGGGGGTTCGGTTTCTTGGGGGGCCCTGCAGGCGGGAGTAGAGCTGGATGTGGCCACCTGGGCTCTGGAGAGAGCGGAGCTGTGGTCGTGATGAGCAACAGGCCTCCGTTCGAGGCCAGGGCACCGGGACCAAACTCAGCACTGACTTGGGCGGGCCGCAGCCTCCAGGGTCTGCAGGAGGCCGTCCCTCTGCCTCGCGTGTGGCTCAGCGTCCCCTCCAGGAACCGAGCCCGCTAACTCCTTGGAGACGGGAGCTGCCACAGTACCCCGGGCTCCGGCTCTCGGGTGCAGGGGCAAACGGCCGCCTCTGTGCTGCCGGGGTCGGGGTCTGTGCCAGGGCAGGCCCGGCTGGAGAGCAGGGAGGCTTTGAGCCGGCCCTTGGTGACGGTGGGCCAAAGAGTGTGCGTGGCCAGTGGGGAGCTGGCCGAGGACACGCGGCGGCCCGGGAGAGCCCGTGTGCTGACGGCTGGCCCGTCCCCCCGCCCCACAGCCCATCCCCGGTGCTGCTGAGCTGCGGCGTCCCCTTGGACCTGGCCAGGAACGCCATCCGGCTCAGCGTGGGCCGCGGCACCACCCGGGCCGAAGTGGACCTCGTCGTGCAGGACCTGAAGCAGGCGGTGGCCCGGCTGGAGGGCCAGGCCTAGTGCCCAGGGCGGTGCCAGAAGGAGTCTTCCTCTTGTCCCAGAGCGTGTGGGCTCCGGGCTCCCTCCCGTCCCTTGGTCAGTGAGGGAGCGGGTCTGCTGGGCCCACAGACGCCACCGGTGCTGAGGGGCCCAGGACAAGATGCCCTCGTGGGACCATCCCTGTCACTGCTGCCCAGTGGCACCAGTTGGATTAGAAACGCTTTAGCCGCGTCCACCCTCCCCGCTGGGAAGTGGGGCGAGCTTGTTGTAAGCACGCCCTTCCTGGAAGGTGGCATTTTTATCCGAAAGGTAAAATCCTAGTATTTATAATTGATTGTCAGCTGCTCTCATGGAAATAGGAGACCTGGTTTTTGGCTGCTGTCCTGGCCTCTGTGCACCTGTTGGCTGAGAGGTCGGTCCCTCCTCACCCTCATGGCCTTTCTCAAGCCCTTTCCAGAGGGTGGGGGCCCCTGTGGTCAGGCCCCTCCCCGCTGGGCGTCCCCCCGCTTCCGGGCCTGCCCATCCTCCTGATCACTTGCTGGTCACTCGGGCCATCGACCACTGGGCGCCCTCTCTCCCAGTCCGCAGGCCCCTCCCGTCCCTTCCATTAGATCATTTGCTCAGGGTTTCAGCTCAGCCGTCAGAGTCACGGGCGGCAGCGCCTGCGTGATGCTGGCTCATTCCCAGGGCGGAAAATCGTTCATCCCTCGCTCAGCTCCCATCTCGGTTGTATTTGCGGGAGGATTCTTTGATCTTCACAGTGGCATTGTGGTGTCTGGTTCACATCAGATGTCATGTCTATGGAGACATTTACATAGGAGTGGTTTTTTTTAATTGAGTAACACTTGTAATGTGCGGTTGAAAGGTGCAAGGAACTTCGTGATGGCACTGAGGAAACAACCGTCAGAAATTAGATGAACTAATAAAAGCTTCCAGTGCTTGTTTTGGACATTTTGTGGTTCTTCTAGTGGGTGCTTCTCTTGGGGGCACCAGTGTGTCTGTGCCGGCAGTGGGGTGGGGTCAGACCCACTGCTCACTGCATAATCACGCTTTAGCTTCAGGAACTCGTCTTGCGACTGTGTCTCTGGGAGCTCTAGAAAGTAGGTCCCTAACATGCAGCATCCTGCTTCCGCCAGGCAGAGGCTGTGGTGTCCCGATTCCCCCAGCAGAGAACTTTGGGTGTCCAGCCCCACAGAAGAGAACAGTCTGGAAAAAGATGCTTGGCAGCTCTGAAAAATGCACTCGGGACCTTTAGCTGCAGCGCCAGAGACTCTCGGTCAGGGCCCTGTGCCCGTCACCGGCCCTGGGGAGCAGCTGCTGTCCAGAGGTTCACGGAGCCTCCAAGGCCAGCTGAGGCCAGGATCCAGCATAGATTTCCCAGGGGCCAGGCAGGCCTCCAGCTCCCGGTGGGTGACAACATGTCCCAAACACTTAAGGTCCCCAGAAAGGGCTCCACTTGGATGGGTCTGCCCTCCTGTGAGAAGGGTCTCCCAGGTGGCCTCCCATGGCCCAGCACAGCCTTCAGGGCGGCTGCCCCCAGCCTGGGGGAAGCGGACACTCGGGAGCCTACCGCTTTCTGGAAAGGACACTGCCACTGTGAACACCTGCTCGACGCGGGAAGTCCATCCCAGCCCTCGCTCCACGGGAGGAGGAGGCATGAGCCAGCACAAGGCAGTGTCCCCCCGGCCAGCGCCCATCCCCAACCCAAACCCGGTGTGGGCCCTTCCCCCACGCCCTCTGCCCACCGCAGCTCCGGGTGCTGCGGGAGCGGCTGGGGCTGGGCTGCGGAGGCCCGGTCCCCAAGGCCTGTCCCCCCACCCCCCTGCCGCCTCCCATCTGCCCTCTGCGCCGCTTATCAGGTAACCGGAGCCGGGAGCTGCGTCCACGCCTGAAACAGGAAGCCCGGGCCTGTGCGCGAGTCGAGGAGAGCCGGCCGGGTGGATGGAGGAGCAGCGGGCGCTCGTGGCCGCCAAGGATGGGGACCTGGCCACCCTGGAGCGGCTGCTGGAGGCGGGCGCCCTGGGCCCGGGCATCACCGACGCCCTGGGGGCTGGCCTGGTGCACCACGCCACCCGGGCCGGCCACCTGGCCTGCGTCAAGTTCCTGGTGCAGCGGGCCCAGCTACCCGGCAACCAGCGGGCCCATAACGGGGCCACACCGGTGCATGACGCCGCCGCCACCGGTAGCCTGGCCGAAATGTGTTGGCTGGTGCGCGAAGGGGGCTGCGGTCTGCAGGTGAGCCGAGCGGGCACGGTGGCCGCGGGGGGACCCCTGTCCATGGGGATGGAGGGAGGCATGAGCCGAGAGCCGGATCCGGAGCCCTCGGCCTCCCCTGGGCACCTCGGCCCTGGGCTGTTCCTGTCAGGGAGTCACCACGCGGGCCCCACAGCACAGTCAGTGGCGTCTGTCTCTGCCCAACATCCCTCCGCCCCCAAAGTGGGCACCTCCTAAACCCCCTCGCGTCCCCCAGCGCCCAGCACAGAGTGGCCACCCTTGTTCTTCCTCCCCACGTCCCACCCAGGGGCGCCTGGCCTTGCCAGTGGCCATCTCACGGGGCCCTTATCAGGCCTGATCCGTGGGCCTGTCTCCGAAGGGTTTAGAAAAGGGTCCTTACGAAGAGAAGCAAGGTGGGCACTCGGACTCGGGAGCTGTCCGGCCTGGACACCCGGGGGCCCCGGTGGGTGACAGCACAGGTGCAGCTGTGGGGGGCAGTGGGACGAGAACCTTGATGTGAAGAGAAGAGTCTCAGGGCCCGCCTCTCCCTTCTCCTGCCGGCCGGGTGGGTGCTCCGTGTGGGGGTGAAGGACCACGGGAGGTCGGTGAGCCAGCTCTGACGGTGTAAGGACGTCCTCCCAGAGGCCGGAGTCGGGGGGTGGGCATCACCGTGACCCGCTCGGTCCGGGACGGGGAGGACTCGGCGGTCACAGCCTGAGCGTCCCAACAGCCTCCAGGCCGCAGTCCTCATCCTCAGAGGCTTTTCGCACAACCCCGGGGGCGGGAGCGGGGCCACCCCTGTGCCTGGGAGAACGCCCAGGTCTGCCAGAGGCCCACGGTGGATAGGGTCCCCGGCAAGAGGACTCGGGGGCCGGCGGGTGGGCGCTCGGTGGGGGTGGGGCAGAGGCCCAGAGACGCCGCAGCCCTGGACACGGGGCAGGCCACCGGCCGGCGCGGGCGCAGCTGGGCGAGCGGAAGCCGCTCTGACTGCGAGCAGAGAAGGGGAGGGAGCTCGGATGCTCAGGATCAGGGACTTGGACCCAAAAGGCCTGGACTTGATCCTGGCCCTGCCGCCGACCTCTCAGTCCCAGAGACCTCCCTCCGCACGCCCCGCGACGGAGCACGCCGGACGGAGGGGCGGGGCGGAAGCTCTCCGCCGGGGTCCCGGGCGCTGTGGTGCCGGGCGGCTGGCCCTGGCCACACTGGTGCTGCCGGGCAGGGCTGGCTCCGGGCCCGCCGCCCGCTCACCGCCCCGTCCGTGCCTCCGTAGGACCGAGACTCCTCGGGCGTCTCCCCGCTGCACCTGGCCGCCCGCTTCGGACACCCGGTGCTGGTGGAGTGGCTGCTGCGAGAGGGCCACGCAGCCACGCTGGAGACGCTGGAGGGGGCCTTGCCGCTGCACCACGCCGCCGTCAGCGGGGACCTGACCTGCCTGAAGCTCCTGACGGCCGCCCACGGCAGGTGAGGAGCCGCAGCGCCGCCTGTTGGGCAGTCCGGGGGGTGCAGGTGCTGGGGAGGCCGCACCGAGGGGGCGGAGGAGGAGGGGCTGCCGCCTTGGAGGCGGGCCTTGGGGGAGGGGAGTGTGGAGGGACAAGTCTGTGGCCAAGGCGCGGGCGGAGAGAGCTCGGGGTGAGGCTCGGAGCGTGGAGGGAGCAGTGAGAACGGCGAGGAAGCTGCTACAGCAGTCAGAGCAGGAGGCGCTCTATATGCTCAGGCAGCTCCTGGCCCTGCCTGGGGGCGTCTCAGGGCCCGGCTTCCCCTGGCTGGGAATGTGGCCCCCTCAAGCCACCCGAAGGGAGCAGAGGCTGTGCAGTGGACTTGGGGGCCCCTTCAGGTCGGCCTGGATTCTCCCTCCACACTGTCCTGTTCCTGACACTGTGAACCCCTGCCCCCCCGCCTGGAGTTGGTGGATGGCGAGGCGGGGGCAGCGGGCAGCGGGACTCCCCTTCCCCATCGTGGGCACTGCTGTGGCCCTTGCGCCCCACAAAAGATACCCTGGGCACACAACGGGCCATCTAGGGTGCCGTGCACGTGGCCTGCCCCCCACCGTCTGTTCTCAGGGCTACTGCCCTGGCTGGGGGTGGGACTCCGTGTCCACCCCACACCTGACCTGTCCTTTGTCCCCCGAACCCGCCTGCCTCTGTAACCACACGCCTTCTCCTCTGCGGGGCCTCTTGTTGGCCGGCTGGCTGTCCTGGCCACCCCACGGTTGCTCCTGGACGAGGCCGGATAGCTCAGCTGTGGAACAGTGTTCCTGTCCCTGGGCCTTCCCATCCCGACCCCTCGGCAAAGGCCTTCGGGACTCGCCTCTGCGGATCTTCCCCAGAGCGTCCACACCAGCTGCCCCGGGCCCGGCCGGCCACAGAGTGTCTCTTAGACCGGCAGTTTTAGAAGCAGTTTCTGTCATTTGAAAAGTGGAAGATTTCACATTAAAACACACACAAGCACACGGGAAGGTCCCCCGCCCCAGGGCCCACATTCCCACCGGCACCGACCACAGGACCTAGAGGTGAAGTCTTTGTCAACAGGGCGTGGGTCCGGTTTGGGGAGGGGCTGCCCTGGGGACCAAGAACTCTCCTGGGCCTGCAGCACCATAGAGGCAAAGCCGGATGCAGGAAATCTGACGACCCTGCCCCAGTCCATCCA